GTCTGGAGCCCTCCCTAGGGTGCCCTGTGCTGGCTGGCAGGAGGCTCAAGGCCTGGCTTGCATGGGAAAGGAGGGGCCAGGGCTTTTCACTGGGCTGGGCCTTCACCCTTAGTGTCCAAGCCCCATGCCTGCTCAGTGCTGGAATGTGGGGCCCCTGCACGTATCCCCATTCAAAGCCAGGTCCCAGGATCTGTCCTGCCCTGCTCCACGCTGAAATGCAGAGATGTGTCTGAAGCTGGCTCACCACTGACCTGCCTGCTCATGGCGACGTGTGAGAAAGCCGTCCTTGTGGCACTGGGTGCCCACGTCTGCTCTCTGCAATAGTCTCTCCTGGTAACACGTACCTCTGGCTCCAGTCCTGCCTGTGACACTCCATTGCAGCCTGGGCCCTAAAACCAGCTGTCCAGGTCTGCTCAGTGCCTGTCCCTTGGCTCATTCCTATCCAGCCTCTCTATTCCCTTGCCTGTGTGTGGGTTTACCATGGGAGCTGCGCTACTCCCTGGCTAGTTTGCCCTCTTCTAGCCTCTTGCTCCAGGGCAGGATCTCAGGGCTTACTCACTCCTTGAATGTCCTGCTTGTCCCTAACGTAGGGTTACCATATCTGAACTTTTAAAAAAGAGGAGGACACCCCTGAGAGGGACTGTATCTGTGTCAGTATCTACCAAGTCACGCTGAATTCATGTGCTATATACGGTAACCTTAGCTAACGAGGTCCCAGAGAATGATGCAGACTTCTCCCCCTGCTCTCCCCTTCTAGCTGTTAGCACTCCCCTAGCCTTCCCACAGCCGGGCTTCACTTGCAATTACACCTGGCTGGACTACTCTCCAGTGACTTATCTGGCTCCTTGTTGGCCTATCAGGGCTGCTGATGGGCGCACATCCCCTTGCCGGCCTGAAGCCCCACACAGTGCCCAGGAATGCTGCCTGGAGCAAACCAGGCTGACACTCCGTGCCAGTGTGCAGCGGCCAGGCTGGTGCAGTCCCCACAGTGCTGCAGAAGTCTTTGAGCCCCACCCAGACTTTGCTCAATGGCTGGTTAATTTAGGTTCATTAAGTGGGGCACCTGGCCTCTATTATTAACTATTTTGTTCCTATTCAAAGACATCCCGCCCCGCCCCCGCCCATCACCAGAGCAGCACCAGCTCTGGCCCAAACATAGCAGGCTGGGTAGGAGTCACTATGGTCTGATGTTTATTTGTCTGTTCTTAGCATCAGTGGGAATAAAACCCTGTCAAAGCAAGGGGAGCGGAGTCACTATGGTCTGATGTTTATTTGACTGTTCTTAGCATCAGTGGGAACAAGATCCTGTCAAAGCAAGGGGAGCGTTTCCGGCCTTCTACACTCCAGCACATCACCTACCATGTGTTGCTCAATGCTCAAGTCTCCCTCAGGGACAGGGTCTGCATCATGGTGCTAGACAGCCCACTGTTGCTAATACAGCCACATCAAACAGGTTCTCACCCGCCCCAGAGAGGCATAAGCCTGGCCAGGTTTCTGCCTGGAGCAACTGAGAGGCAGCAGCTGTGAAAGGTTGGAGGTCACACACAATCAACAAAGGCCATGTCTACACTGAGAGATAAGGTCGAATTTATTAAGGTCAGTTTTCTAGCACCCAGTGTTGTAAAGTCAAAGGTGCACTGCCCCACTGAGAGCAAGAATTAGTTCCAAGTAGCGCCTCCCCAGTAGGGTGGCTTCCGTTGACATTGAAAGCAATGCACTTTACCTTCTGAGTTATGCTCCCAATGCACGTGGAACCAAAACTGTGCAGCTGGTGGTTCTGGGTATTTGTCGTTAGCATCCCCTATTGCACTTGTTCCTAACCCTCCCCCCACTTGAGAGCAACGGCAAGCAATCTTTTCGTGTCCTTTTTCCCCTTGGTTAGCTGCACAGACGCCATAGCAGCCTCAACCCATTGTGGATCCTGTTGAGCATCAAAGCATGATAACGATTTTAACCATGGTGCACTTAATGCTGGAGTATATCCAGGGTCCACCAGAGTGAGGACGAATCTCAGGAGGCCATAAACATACTCTTCAGTGAAGCACTTGAGTATCCTTTCTCCTCAGTGCTCTTTGTGATCTTGGCATAGAGATCTGCCTTCCTTTTGCTCATTTATAATTCTGCGAGACCAGATTCCTCTCCCAACACAGCAATTAGGTCCAGGATCTTCTGCATGCTCCATGCGAGTGCTCGTTTGCGGCCCTGGGAACTCATGGAATGTATGGTCAGGTGTTCCGCTGCCTGCTCTGTGGTTTGCTCACCATGCTGGCCACATAGAAAATGAAATTCACATTTTCCTGGGATTTTTCCTGTTTACCTGGAGAGCAGCAGAGCTGAAAGTCCTGGCCAGAGCAGTCACTGTGGGGCACCTCCTGTAGGCTGAGAATGTCAACTTTTATTGAGCTGCATCTGCACTACTGTAAAATCGACCAGGCAAGGTCGAATTTAGCGTTACTCCTTGTGAAAGCAGGAGTACAGAAAGTCCACACCACTGAGCCCTTAAGTCCATGGAAAGGGCTTGCTGGTGTGAACTCATTGTTCTGAAAATCGACCTAATGCAGTTAAGTTCAACCTAAGCTCCTAGTGTAGACCAGGCATAAGTAACAGCGACTGTGTGTTTCTGTCCCAGACTCTTTGGAAAGTGGCTCTTCTGCTCTTGCTCAAACTTTCCAGGCCAGCTCGCCCCCAGACAGTGCGCAGAGGGAGCCTCCTGATGAAGCTGAAAAGAGCCCCTTGGAATAGGCCTGCTTAGGTGACCTTTCTACCTGGGGGTGTTAAGTGCCCTACACAGAACAATAGTAATCAACAGCCATTGGCCCAGGACTAAGTGTGAGACTCTTGTCCCTTTAATCTCAAGTTTCAAGCTTCCCTCCCAGAGGTCTGGGCTCACAAAAGCCCTTAAGCGCGTGCATAACTGTAAGCGTTGCCATCAATGGGACTCTCACACAGTCAAAGTTAAGTCTGTATTTGACTCATTCCCAACAGATCTCCTCTTTGGTCCTCAGTTCGAGTGGCTCAACATGAGTCCGATGGGGAGGGAGAAAGTGCTGGGAGGAGGCATCTGATTTCCCACCCACAAGGACAGAGTGCTGCAGCCCAGCAGGGCATCCTTTTATAGTACCCTTTATATCATTGTTAAGAGTAGCAGGTATTGATATACAATGCATTTGTCATCTTATTGTGCTTCCTATGAAAATGTGTGTACATAGTACAGATACCAGAGATAATTCAACACTTTATACACTTGAAGGCATTCAGAGATCGGTAACAGAAAAATGGCACAATATCAAGGCCTAAATGCTACTGGATGGGTATCTACACTGATATGCCGCATACAGAGAAAGACAGATATATATATATGTACACACATATATATATATAGTCATATATATTATATATTATATATAAGAAATATAAAATGAGGATGATATAGTCAAACAGACAAATAAAAAATTATAAGTTTCAACGGGCGAGCGTCAAGGTCAAATCCAAACCCAAGCCCCATCTTTAAAAGCTTTAGAGCGCAAGAGTGAGAATCAGAAAGAAAAGGAATGAAACCGCACGAAGGAGCCGTAAGACAATGGATGAACGTGGCTGACCCGTTTGTCTTTGGGCGAGTGCTAGATACAAAGGCCTGACCCCCGTTCCTAATGTGGGTCAGGAAGTAAAATAACAACACTCGGAAAGTAAAATAAAGATTAGAAACAAAATAACAAACAATGACATTGCAAAAGCTCTTAAAGCTAAGTAGCACGTCAGCCCTGCGGAGCTGTCAGTTGGTGGAGGGCGCAGGGTGGGTGCGAGCATTCTGGGGCTGGCCCGGATAGTGGGACAGATGGATGGAGGCAGCCCAGGCAAGGTCTGGCTCTGGAGACCCTGCTGCGGCTGCTGGGGTGGGGACTGGGTTTGGTACACACAAGTCAAACTAACCTCACAGCTCATCTCTGTGTACCAGTGTCCTACGAAGGGCTGATGACGCCCACACAGCCCAGCCTATGGGCACTCGGCGCAGAGACTGGGACACAAAGGGCTGTGGGTGGCTGTGAGTGACTGGCACCAGTGGAAAGCTGCCTGCCCCTTTCCGAAGTGGCGGGTGATGTGGGAATTCTTCCTGGAGAAGCTGGCAGGGGAGCCCGTGGGTCATTTCCGAAGAGTCGGAGGGTCCCCAGAGGGTTCTGCTTGGGGGCTGTGGGGCTTGGTTCAGCTGATCGCGGCAGAGCTGAGGGCACGAGCAGGTTCCTGTGGACAAAATCTGTCCTGCTGGAAGCCCTCTTCTGTGGGAAGTCAGCTCCGCCCAAGCAGCTCCCCAGCTCTGAGCCGGGGCCTTGACAAAGCCCTACAAAGCACCTGCTTGGGGGACATGAGATCAGCTTGGGGGAGCTGGACGGTGCTCCCCCCTAAAACCCTTGTGTCTGACTCTCCATAGCGCAGCTCTGGTGCGTGGGTTGCTGGCTCCGGCTAATCCCACTTGCATGGGAAGCGGCAGCACCATCAGCATTTTCTTCACCTGCCATGCTCCCTCTCATGCTCCCCAGAGCACATCCAACCCTTGGCAGCGTTACCTGGTAAGGACTGGGGGGGGGAGGGGGGGCGGGAAGGTATCTCCTTCCTGCTCCCAACTGGCTATAAGGCTTCTGCCTTAGGGGCAAAGGAGGTTGAGGCCTCTTAGGTGTTTTGGAAGGTCCTCCTGGACCCTGCAGCATGTACAGGGCTCTCCCCCCAGCTGTCTTTGGTGCCGGCCACACACAGGGGCTCTCTGCATTGTGTGGGTTCCATGTGTCAGCGTTTGGGCAGGAGGCCTGGGGGAAGAGGGAGAGGGGGGAGGAGGAGGATGGTGAAGGGAGGAGGAAGGTTGTGCTAGCTCACAGGGGGGGCTATCATTCCCCCAGCTCAGCCCATAGAGCACCAGCTGAGGTCATGCTGGAGGGGGACAGGAGCCTGGGGAGACTTGGGGGCAGCTGCCCTTTAGCTGAACCGTCATGCTGGAGGGGGACAGGAGCCTGGGGAGACTTGAGGGCAGCTGCCCTTTAGCTGAACCCTCAGCCAGGGAAGGTTCCCAGGGACCATCATGCTCAGCACTCAGTACCAGGGGCCGCGGGGACCAAGACCAAAGCAAGACTGTGGCTGCTGAATTGGCTGCCGGGCTCATGGGATCCAGGTCTGTTAGCATCTCCCATCCACGCTGGGGTGACGTGCTGAGAGGGACCCAGGCAAACATGAGCAGTGGGGCCCCTTGCTCAGGACAGGAACTGGGAGCCCTTGCCACTGGAGGTGATGCTCCAGCACTAACAGACCCCTCTGCTCTGCAGAGTTGGCTGGAGCTCAGCACCAGGAGGCTCCCAGTCCAAAGTGTGGCCATGGGAGAGCCATGGAAAGCAGGTACAAGGGCAGGAATGTGGAACTGGGGAGTGGGCCGACTCCCCACATGGGATGGCAGCTGGAGGGCGGATTCTTCTGGGGTTCTTTCTCTTTGGAGTTAAAAACAAATTGAGGAGCCGAGGAGGAGCAGGGCAGGTCCTGTGGCCCAGCCTGGTCTGTGTGGAGATCCTGCGCAGGCTGCAGCGTCAGCGCCGCAGGGGGCTGGTGGGACCGGAATGTCCAAGACTCTCTAAACTATGGGGCGGAGGGGAGAGCAGCTGGCGCCGAGTCTGTATCCAGGGTCAGAAACCAACCCAACCGCCTGCCACCTGGCCCTAAACCTGAGGCCTTCGCTCTTGTTAATGTCCCACTTGGTGAGGAGCAAGGGCCCCTAGGTGTGTCCCGTCCGTGGGCGCCCCCCAGGGACAGGGGCCATGCTCAGGAGGGCTTTGGTAGCGTCCGTCGTACATCCAGATGTCAGTTAGCAGGTGAAGTCCTCAAACGTGCCCCGGGCCGGGTGGTGAGGTAGGATGTTGGCTGCATACGTCATGCCAGCTGGGTGGCCCCTTAGGCTCTCGCAGGGGTTCTGGGGGCAAGGGAGAGGAGGGGTGTTAAGATGGGGCGCGGAGAGAAGAGCAGATTACACGGCGACAGCAGCGTGCAGTGCCTTGGCACCCGCAAAGTAACCACGGCGACCTGGAAGCTCAGGGGATGGCCCCTCCCAGCACAAGCCATCGCCATACACCTGGCTGAGTGACGCCACCTCCCTCAACAAAGGCCCTGCTCATAGATGGGCGGCAATGGGTGAACTGCCCAGCGCCCTCAGCCAAGTGCCCCCCGTGGGGCTGGATCAGAACTTTCTGGCCCCACGAGAACCACAGCTGCCAGCTGTCTTCGGCAAGCCAGCCGGCATGAGCCCCGGTGCCACGGCGACTGGCACGCTGGCAAGGCCTTGGTAGTTTTCTAGCCTCTCCCTCTCCAGAGGCTGCCGGCTGCCCCTCCAGGCATGCCCAGCGGACAGGGCCACTGTAGCATGAAGCCCCCTCGCAGGTTGTGGATCCCAGCCTCACCCTTTCACCCCAGCAATCCCTGCAGCACAAAGGCTGTTCCCAAGCACCATGTTCTCAGCAGCCTCCCGGCTTTGGGGGTCCTAACTTTGGCTTTCAAGGCAGCCAGACCTCGCTGGGCCCTTGCGAGTTAGCTCACAGGTGCAGGAGCAGGAGGAGACCATGTGTGTGTGGGGATCCTGGCCAGCCCTGGTCAGTGCTATGAGTCTGCTCATGGGCAGTGGGTATAATAGACAGGGAAAGGCAATGCCTTCCCAAACTGCCAGCCTAGACCTGCCCCCACTCCACCCCGGGCCCCCAGCCTCCTCCAGGGCTCTCTGGGACTCAGCCCCACAAAGCCTGGCCCATGCCACCAACTGTTCAGGGCCGTGGCACTGGCCACCCTCTCTCTCCCAGTGCTCCAGCTGGAGCAGAGTGCAGTGCACCCTCCTCCCCCTCCCCCACTATGCTCTGGCCGTGAGTGCATGCAGCCCGGTCCCTCACCTCCATGCTCTAGCCGGGGCTGTACGCTACCTTCTCCCCATCCTCGCGCTCTAGCTGGGGCCATGTGCTGCCCACCCTTCCTCTCCCTGTGCTCTGGCTGGGGCCGCAGGCAGGTTGAGGGACGGGTGGCCTGCCCATAGAGTGGGTGGGGGGGGAGGGGGAGCTGGGACATAGGGGCTTGTCTCCCCCAGCCCTGGGTTGACCCACTGCCCATGGGTCTGCCCCTCTCACAAGCACACAGCAGCTCCCAATGGAAGCCCCCGGCCTAAGGGGTTCACTGTGCAGCATGGGGCACTGCAGGGCAGCGTGCTGCCCTCCCCCCACATAGGGTCCATGGGGCTGTCAGGGAGTCCAGCGGGGGTGGGGAGGGAGAGAGGGGCATGGCCCAGGCCACAAGAAGAGGGGCAGGTTCAGCACTTACATGGCGTTTCACATCATCCATGCTCAGGGTGACGCCCTTGTCTGTGTTGTTCCTTTTGTGGTTCTTTTGGCACTTGGGCCGGCGACACAGCTTGTACTTTATCACCTGAAAGTGAAAGCGGCTGCTGGGCAGGAGGCCCCCTCAGCGACCCAGAGCACCCTGTGCAATGAGGAGTCCGGGGCACCGGTCGCACGACGCCGAGGGGCTGGTGGAAACGGCACAGGCCACATTCTGCTCCCAGCCACAGCACGGTAAATCCAGAGTGACTCCCCATTCTGGACTGGCTGCTCAGAAACCAGCCCTAAAGTGTAGGGGCTCACAGCTCCCATGGGCACGCAGAGCAGGGCAGGGCAAGGAGGGATTTGGGCCCCAGGGGTTGGCAGGAGGTGCACGAGGCTGGCACCAGCTGGCGAGGGTGGGGGATTTTATGCTGAGAGGGGAAGGGCTGGGCAGGATGGGGAGTGTGGGGGCTGGTGGGGGAGCAGGAGGGGAAGTGACATGCAGAGGTGACAGGGAGGGAGGAGCTGTGGAGGAAGCAGTGTGTGTGTGTGGGGGGGGATTAGGGGACCTTGGTGCATCATGGGGCTTGTTCTCAGTGCCCCCTCCTTCACTCACCTCATAAGCATAATCGAAGAGCTCCAGCACGGTCAGGATGCTGGCCCCGATGAACAGCCCCATCTGCCCGCCGATGTCGCCTGAAGAGGAGAGAGTTGAGAGCGGTCAGGAGGGGCTGGCAGGGAGTGGGCCCCCCTCAGCCAGGGCTCAGTGACATGGGGGAGGGCAGGACAGCTGAGGAAGAGAGACAAGACGGAGGGAGGGAGGGGGAGGAGAAGGCAGCAGCTGCACTTGCCCTAGTGGTTCATCCACCTGCAGTGAGAAGCTGGCTCTCCCCACGCGTTCATTCTAGTGGTCTCCGATGAGCCTGTGACATGGACAACCCCAACCCCCGGCCAGCCAAAGCTGGAGGCTCCTGGGGAGCCTTGGTCCGGACCCCAGGCTGCAGCATGGGGAGCTCTGATCTACTGGAGCAAAGACTGGTGTTTCCATAACTGGGGTTCTTCCAGGTGTGTGGCTCATGTCCATTCCACAGTAGATGTGCGTGCTCGTCATGGGCACCGTGCCGGAAGTGTTTCCCCTAGCAGTACCTGTTGGGGAGCAGCTCTAGCAACTCCAGCGATCCACCCCACTAAGCCACTGGGACCCACCCCACCTCCCTACTTTCAGCTGATGCCAGCTCACAGCCCTAGAGCAAATCGTCCACTCTGCCCCTGTCAGCTCTGGCCCTGGGGAGGCTGGGAGTGGCTGGGATGCTGCCCCAGAGCCAGCCTCCTGCCTTCCCCAGGGCTGAAGCTGGCATCAGTTGAAGGTAGGGAGGCGGGGCGGGCAGCTTGCTCTGGGGCTGAGCGGGGGAGCAGCATAAGGGGCTCTGCGTGCTCCCTCCGCCCTCAGTTCTTTCTTGCTGGAGACACTGACAGTGGGGAGGAGGGCGGGTCGTGGAATGGACAGGAGCAACACATCTCAAAGAGCACTAGCTATGGAGCCTCCTTCGCGTGGTTCCTCATGTCCATTCCACGCTGAGTGTCTCCAGGCAGTGCCCCCTCGGAGCGCTCATGGACAAGCAGGTGGTAAGACAGTGCTGCTGAGCCCAGCGCCATCCTCAGCCTGGGTGCCCATGGCACAGTGTGCAGCAAAGGTGTGCATTGACAGCCCTGAAGCAGCCTGACACATGCCCTGGATTGGTATGTGAGCCAGGAACGCCACCAAAGAGGCTTCTGCTCTGCTTGAATGGGCTCTTACAGTCAGCAGCGGGGGTCTCCCGGTAGGTCACAGCAAATGCAAGGGGTGATCCAGTTTGAAATCCTCTGCATGGAGACAGGCTAGCCCCTGATCCGCTCAGCCATAGAGATGAACAGCTGGGTACCTCTCCGGTACGGCTTATCCAGTCTAGGTAAAAAGCTAGGGCCCGTCTCACACCCAGGCTGTGTCTAGACTGCATCCCTTTTCTGTAAAAGGGATGTAAATTAGACACATCGCAATTGCAAATGAAGAGGGGATTTAAATCCCCCCCGCTTCATTAGTATAAAAATGGCTGCCGCTTTTTTCCGGCTCGGAGCTTTGCCTGAGAAAAAGCGCCAGTCTAGACGTGGCTCTTTTGGAAAATAAAGCCTTTTCCGGGATCTTTGCCGGAAGAAAGCGCCAGTCTAGACGGGGATCTTTCGGAAAATAAAGCCTTTTCCGAAAGATCCCTTATTCCTTTTTTAAAGCGCTGTCTAGACTGGTGCTTTTTTCCGGCAAAGCTCCGAGCCGGAAAAAAGCAGCAGCCATGTTTATACAAATGAAGCAGAGGGGATTTAAATCCCCCCTTCATTTGCAATTGCGATGTGTCTAATTTGCATCCCTTTTACGGAAAAGGGATGCAGTCTAGACACAGCCCCAGAGTGTGACGGGGTCTCTCCTTGCTCAGTGTGTGGGGCTTAGGGCAGGGATTGGCAGGAAGATGTACCAGCCCATGTGGAAAGTGGACACCCCCTTGGGGAGAAAGTCTGGGTATGATTGGAGCTGACCCTGGTCCTTATGGAAGACCGTCTACGGCAGTTCACAGGTCAAGGAGCAAAGCTCGGAGACTCATCTGGCCGATGATCTAGCCACTTTCCATGACAGATGTGACAGGAACACCTGGCCAGAGGCTTCAAAGGCTGCCCCATGAACCAGGCTAGGACCAAATGAAGGTCCCACTGGGGACCTGACCTGAGGGAAGAGCCGTTCCAGGCCTTGGAGGAATCTGCCCAAGTCATGCGACAAGACTCTGTGACCTTGGCCTGGTGGATGGAAAGCAGAAATGGTCCCCAGACACACTCTGAGCGAGGCCCTGGTTCTTCAGGTGGAGCAGATAATCCAGGCTCGACTGGACCGGAGCCATGAGAACCTCATCCATTTTGGCAGGTAGGTCTGATGTGTTGAAGGCTTTCTGCTATCGAGAAGGACCGGGCGGATGCCCTCTGAACAGGCCTGTTCCTCAGGGCTCAGCCATGCAGCATCCATGCCATGAGGTTGGGGTGCAGCAGGCAGCTGTGGTCCTGGCACAGGAAATCCGATCAGTCTGGCAGTGGCCTTGGGGTGGGGGGAGCACCCCTAGGCTCGACAGGGTTCCATGAGCAATTGTGCAGGAAATACCATGGACTCAAGGACTGTCAGTACCAGTGCTCCTGGACCTGGCAGGAGGCATGTGTCATCAAAGGTCTGCACTCCCATGCCAGAGAGCCGGCCATGAACCTCTCTGGGCCCCCAGGCTGGCAGTTGAAGGGGGTCAGTGGGGTGCACTTCTCATGGGGGCTGGAGAGCATTGTCTGGCTCTTCCCTTGGTGGGGTACGGCCCGAGTGCAGGCTTTCCCCATGACTGGAGAGCGGTGGGAGCCTGGGAAGCCACCTGCAGGGCCTCCGATGTGGAGGGCATCTGGATCTGGCTCAGGATCCTGCTGATTTCTGGGGATGCTGGCGTGGAGTGGGCTGGGCTACTCCGCTCCACTTGGGCTGGTCTTGCTCATCCCCAGATTTATCCCACTGTTTACAGGAGGGTGGTGAATGGCCCTGCACCATCCTTTTCAGCTTCTTCGCTGAAGCCACTGATGGGAAGCAATGTCACGGGGTGGACAGTACCGCCGGGGTATTACACACCATGGGAAGCAATGTCACGGGGTGGACAGTACTGCCGGGGTGCTACGCACTGAGGCCACGATGCTCAGTGCCAAGTCAGATCAGCTCGTTGGTGCCAGACGTGGATCAGAATCCAAAGGGAGGCAGCAAAGCCAAATGTCCTGTTCTTTTTTGGTCTTTGGCTGGAAGGACTTGCAAATCTTGCACTTGTCACTTACGTGACCTTTGCCCAAGCAGCACAAGGGACACACTCACCGGCATGGGCCATTAGTAGGAAATGAAACCTTGACCTTTGCCCAAGCAGCACAAGGGACACACTCACCAGCATGGGCCATTAGTAGGATTTGAAACCGGGGGATTGGAGCATGCCCTGGCCAAGGCAAAGTCCTGCAAGGGACAGCAAAGTCGCTAACTATCCAGGTACGACACTACTAGGGAACTATCTGCAGGAAAACAAGCAAACGAATGCTGTAGGAACAAAGGGCTACAGCAGTTAGCTGGAGCAAAAGCCATTGTGAGCACCATCACTGGGGGCAAGAAGGCACTGAGGGTGGTGGGACAGCACACTGCCCCTTATGCTGTGCCAGGGAGGTGCCACTCCAGGGGTCGCTAGAGGTGCTCCCCTATGGGTCCCCCTGAGGGAAAATCGTTCTGCACTGGCGCGTGTGGCGAGCACACGCACCTACTGTGGAATGCACACGAGCAATCCCTTGAAGAAGAGCCTGGGAGCTCAGCAACCCTTCCCATGGGCTCCGGGCAGGGGTTCTGCTCAGTGGAAGGAGGGGAGCGACTCACCAGGGATTCACTAGGAGGCTGGGGCACTGAGCCCTGGAGCCTGCAGCCATGCCAGGATTTTCCCAGAGCACCAGGGTTCTGGGCTGCAGGTTTGGGCTCGGTGTCCTCAATCAGTATGGAGCCAGCAAGCCCCTCCCCAGGGATGGCTGCTCCAAGAGGCCAAATACCCACCGCTCCCACCGACCCGCAGTCCCTCTAGGAATCAAGCCCTGATTCGGGAAGGGGCTAGGATTGGATGTCAGGCTCTAGGGCCCTGCAGAGGAATGCAGGGCTGCTCTGACTCGTACCAGCCACTGGACCCCGCGGGATCCGCTCTATCTTTGGAGTATCGAGGCCCAAGAGTTTCTCTAACACTGGGAGAGCTGGGGCAGGAAGGTTCTGCAGGAGAAACCCCCGTGTGTGTGTGTGTGTGTGTGTGTGTGTGTCATTTGCCTGTCATACAAGGGTCTGTCAACTGGGACCTCCCACTAGCTTCCCCCAATGACAGCTAGGTGACTCCGTGCACCTGCCCATAATTTCTGCACTCCCATGAGCCCTACTCCCCAAGCCAGCTGGAGCCCAAACCCCAGTGGTTCTGCACTGAGATGACACCCGCTCATTACATGGATCCATTATTAGTTTCCAATGAGTTTCTTCACAAAGCCCTCAAACACCGGCCGTTGGGTCTGCAGGAAGGAGGCTGCTGAAGGGGAAAGAGATCATGATGGAGCTTTGGAGGAGGACTGGCCCTGACGTGCTGCTTCCCACTCATTGACACCTGGGTCACTTGCCAGACATGGGCCACATGTGCTCCCCTCCCCCGTCTGGCTGGGGTAGGGTGGGAGGCAAATTAGCAAGCGGAGTCAGCTGCCCCGGGCCAGGCTGAGAGGTGAAGTGTGTGAGGGGCGTGAGTTCCATGCGGAGCCGTCCGAGCTGGGGCCTGCGCCCTTGCCGCTATTCCACGTGATGCTCTGCTCTCCAGGTTTGCCCCCGGGCTGCTCACGACAGGGATGGTCCCCGGGGGGCAGCAGGGGAAGCAGACACCCTGTGCTGCCTGGGGCACTGCCGATGGGGGTGGGGAGAACCAGGCCTGCCGACGGGGGTGGGGAGAAAGGGGGGATTGTCTCAGGGGTCGGCTATTCAAAAGAGCCCAGGGCTCCTGGTTGTTGTTGCCCCTACGGTGGCAGTGACAACAGCTGGAGCTCTGGGCCCTTTAAATTGCTACTGGAGCCTCATGCAACATATTCCAGGCAGCAGCTCACTGAAGGGGGGATAAAGAGGGTAGTTGCCCTGGGGCCTGGTGATTCCAAGGGGCCCAGGGCTCCCACCTGCTGCCACTGCAGTACTGGCAGCCCCAGGCTTATAAGTCACTGCTGGAGTGTCACACCATGTGGCTCTGAGGGGGCCACACCTTGCCAGGGGGCCCACGCAGGCTGTGGGCTCCCCCGCCAGGCAGCGCTCCTAGCTGCCTGGGGAAGGTGCAGTGCGCTCCAGGTGGTGCTGATGGAGGTTAGCTCCAATCCATCCCTTCTGCCTCAGGCCCTGCCCCTTCCTTGGGGGTGTGGAGCCACCCCCCACCCTGCCCAGGGGCCCAGTGACAAGAATGTCTCCCATCGATCCCCCACCGAGCCACATTCTGGGTGCGCAATGCCTCCCGCGGCGCATATCACCACATGCTCGGCCCTAGAGCCACAGAATCGCCATCCTCCCCACAGCCCCCCAAACTCAGCACCAAAGGCCCTGCCTCCCTGGGTCTCCCCAGCGCATGCCCACTGGGCTGCTGCAGAGCTAGGCTCCCTGACCCCCCTCCTTGCTTCAGCTTACCACCAGGCCCCACTGGCCAGGGGAAGGAGAGCCACTGCCCACCAGACGTGACAGGAGGCAGCTTGGGCTTGGTGCTGTGGGAGTCACTCGAGCTGAATGGACCCCAAGCACTCTGCTTGGCAGTGACCCTGAGGCCTGGCTCCCTGCCTGGCCCTGAGGATAGAGCGACAGTATGGCTCACCCAGCAAGCCAGCCACCTCATAGGCCTTCTTCTGCTCAATCGTCTCATAGTTCAGGGCTTCAAAGAAGATATCCAGCACCAGGAAGTTCTCCCTGCAAGAGAGGAAGGGAGGCTCACTGCCGGGGGCTGGCTCTGTCTGCTGCCTGGAATGGCTGAAGCACGCCTGGCCTGGATAAAACCAGCAGGAAGCCAAGAGTCCAGAGAAAGTAACCAGACATTCAGAACCAGCACCAGGTGTCCTATAGTTCTGGAGCCTGGACAGGTGTCCAGGGGGCCCAAGGGAATGAAACTCTTGTGGCACTAGCACTGCGTGCAGTGTCTTGGCTCCTTCAGCCCTGCGCCCATGGCTGCTGTGCATGCTGCCTCGCCCATTACCCGATGTATTGTTCCGACTTGTTGTACTTCTTGGCCAGGTACTTGGCTGAGGCCTTGCTGGGGATTTTCACCATGGACAGCTCCTTGCCAAAGCGAGTGACATTGCAGGGCATCTCACAGATGCAGTAATCATTGTCCTTTTCCAGCAGGAAATCTGGAGAAGGAGGCAGAAAGGAGGGGAAGGGAGAGAGAGAGCAAAATAAAACAACAGCAGCTCATACTCTACTGGGGCCGCTCGGCCTTCCCGTAACTTCAAAGCTGTCCCTGGAAAGTGCCACTCAACCCAGTCAACTGGAGGAAAGAAAGGGGAGAATTTCTGGACGATTTCTAGGAGCCTCTCCTCCCAGTTGCCACTTTCAAAGCCACTCCCCCGGCCCTAGCTAAGCACATCGACATCAACAAAGCAAGCACAAGGCGCTAACAGAGCCAAACCAAAGGAGGTGAAAGAAACCTCCCATCTGAAAACAATGCAAATAGAAATAATAGAAGGGGGTGGGGGCAATCAGTGCAGGGGTCAGAGGGAGGGACAGGGGAAGAGAGAGAGGAGAAATTTGGGGGCCTGCAGTCACATGCCTTTGGAGTCTGGAGGATTATAGTGGGGCAGAGTGGCCACCCACTGACCCAGAGGGGAGGAGCCCCTAGCAGAGCCCTGGTGGGCAGCGCCCTACTGAGCCACAAGGATGAATGTTCAGGAGGGTAGGTTGGCTGCAGCCAAGCCACTATCCTTGATAGTCAATGGCAAGGACCCATGACCAAGTTTCCGTTGCTGCCAAGTCTCTGTTGCTGAGCCCCCTCATTGTCTGCCGTGGGCAAGCCTCTGTGGCCGAGTCTGATGTGGCAGCAGGGTCCTTGACAGGTGTGTAACAGGAGCGTTCACCACAGTAGCAGAGTGTGGGTCTTCCTCCTTCTCTAGTGGGTGGGCCACATAAAAGAATAAGGGTCTAATGCAGCTGCCAGCCAGTGGAGCTACTCCCTATGCGCCAGCAGTAAAGGCTTGTGCTTTTAGCAGTGAAAGGCTGGGGTTCAAGCCCCAAGGACAGCTGCTGGTGATGGTCACAGGACAACAGATGCCATCAGGGTGAACACTCAGGAGGAATCTCAAGCACAGCCAGTGCCCTCTTCCTCCTGCCCCATGGAGAGATAATGCTCCCTGGAGGGCCTGACAGGGCCACAGCTCTGAGCTTCTGTGGTAGCGGATGTAGTGCTGGACCCCAGAGAGACTGGACTCACACAGTTAGATGGACGGAAGGGCCGGATTCAGAGCTGGCTAGATTCCCTTGGTGCTACACCCCTTCCTGATGTCTAGGAGAAACCTGCACGGGTTGTGGGCATCCCCCTTGGAAACTGGACTGAGGTGTGACTTAGGGACGGGGACCTTCCTTCACTCACTCCATTGCCGCTGGGTGCTCTCCTTGCCCCTGGGCATGCGTGGCACAGAGAGCCCTGTCCCCCGGGAATGGAAGATGCCCCAATGCCCTGCTGCTCGGGCCAGTGGCTAAACCTGTGAAGGGGAGAGGAGCAGGGGAGTCTCACCTAAAGCCGGGTCTGCGCATTCCTTGTACTGCTCGGGGGTGCAGTAGGGGGCGTCGCCTGCAGGGAGACAGAAGAGCAAAGTTTCAGTCTAATAGCTGCGCTGGGGCTGGGTTTAAGATGAAGAAGCTGATCCTGTGTATGTGTGTGTGGGGGATGGGTGGATAACACCAGCCTGCATGGGCACATGGTCTGGTCCAGTGTGGGTGGGTAAGGGATACCAGCCTACATGGGCCACTGATCTGATCCCTCAGAGGAAGGGGGGGGATATTAGACAACAGAGGCAATTAGTTTGGGTGGTGGGTATGGAGGGAGGATGGTGAGCTAGATGAGCCATTGGCCTAGTCCAGCAGGGATGCGGAGGAAGAGGGGTACAGCTAGACCAGCAATCTTATTTGCGAAGCAGCCTGAGTATTTATTTTGCTGCTTCTTGAACCTGTGTGTCACTTCCTAGCCTGCACCTGTCCCCCATCCTCCCTGGACCAGGAATCCCCCCAGCAACCTCAGTACCCTCCCTGTGCCATCAGGATCCTGAGCACACAGACAGTCTTGACTTTAACACCTCACCTCCGCTGTGCAGGGAATCCCTGCCCGGGGAAAGCAATTGACCAGAATAACGTGTGGCCTGTGATTCCACAGGTCCATTTCCAAGGTTCTGTGGATCACGACTGACCTGCTATGGCCTGTCTTCAAGTGACTAGTCCTGTCAGTGTCGGACCAGCACTAAAGCCTTGCAATAAAGGGCTAGTCCCATGAGAGGGGACATGTGTCCCAGGGGTGGGGGAACAGAGTAGAAAGTTCAATCTGCAGCCACTGCCTGGTCCCCCCACCTGCCTGCAGTAGCACATGCCTGCTTCAGGATTTCATAGAATCACAGAGTCATTGAACACTGGAACTGGAAGGGACCTGAAGAGGTCACGTCCAGTCCCTGGCCCTCATTGCAGGACCAAGTACTGTCTAGATCACCCCGGCAGGTGTCTGTCTAACCTGCTCTTAAATATCTCCAGCGATGGAGATTCCACAACCCCCCCAGGCACCTTTGTGCTGCCTTCGTTACTTCCTCCAAGCCGGCCATGGAGCTTAGACAAATACTGGGCTTGCCCTGACCTTGGTACCACAGCAGCTGCCATTAAGCGGCACTGTCTGCTCTGATCTGCAGAGATGGGCGTAGTGAGGGGTCTGTGGGCAGCATGGACTCCTCCACACCTACAGGGGAGGTACCTTCAGGGGCAGTCTGGGGACCCAGCATTGCACACCCTGGAGGGGTAAGCTTAACCCCCAACTCCGCTCCACTGCCAGAGCACACGTGCCTGCCCTAGCAAGCCAATCTCCTGGCTCCAGCACTGCCAGGACCTGTTTCTTGATAACCTGAGAATTGGGAGGAATTTGGGGGCTTAAATTGGAATCCAGCCTGGAGATTCCAATTTAAGATCCAGAATAGCTGGGATTTGGCTGCAGCAGGCTCAGCCCAGAGCGGTATTACCCACAAAGGCTGTGCTCTGAGAGCAGGGGGGGCTCAGCCCATGCACTGTGGGGCACTGTTCACCTTCAGACAGAGCAGAGGCCTGTTGGGGCAGGAGTCCCAGCACAGGAGGAGTGGGAGGGGGACACTGGACTAGATGGGTCACTGGCCAGCTCAGGTAACAAGAGGAAGATAATAGAATAGACCGGGGTGGGCAATCATTTTTGCTGGGGGGGGGAGAACTCCAAGATTTTGGAAAGTGGTCGAGGGGCACACACTTCCATTATATTAATGGAGGAGGTGTGGGGTCTGGGATGGAGGTTGGGTACAGAAGGGAGCTTGGGGTAGGAATTAGGATGCGGGGGGGGAGGGTCTGGGTGAGAGTTTGGGTGAAGGAGGTGGTTGTGACCTGGGGCACTGTGGACTGTGGTGCCGGAGCACTGGACTGGGGTGCAGGAGTTTGGGTTAGGACCTACGGCAGGAGGGGGTTGGATCCTGGGGCAGAGTACTGGGGTGCAGGTTCTGAGAGGGTGTTTGGATGCTGGAAGGGGGCAGAGGGTTTGGGTTATGCAGGGTAAGGGAGCAGGAGTATGGGGGAAGAGGGTTGGAGGAGAGAGGGGCTAGGGTTCCAGACGCAGCCTCTGACCGGGGGATTTACCTGGGTGACTCCCAGTCAGCAACCTAGCAAGTTTCTGAGGCTGCCCTGCCCCCGCACAGGGTGCAATGGCCATGTGTGTATGTGAATAAGTAGGAGCCTGTGAAGAGTGGTGCTTCATGTACTGCCTGTTATTCAAATGGGCAGTTCCCATTTACCAGAAACTGGCCAATGGGATTGTGCTTGGGTAGGAACAGCTCATGAAGCCTCTCCCTCCTCCCCTCTGAGCCCAGAGTTATGAAAGAGAAACAGCCTGGCAGCCACTTTTCTGAGCGGTGTGTGGGTGGGACGAGGCAAGCAGAGAGCCTTCTTGGGGCTCCCTGCTGCATCCACGGGCCAGATACAGTGGCTTGGTGGGCTGGATCCAGCTTGTGGGCCGTATTTTGCCCAGCGCAGGCAGTGGGACACCTGTCGAAATGAATCATTGGGTTGCTCCACAGCAGCAATGAAGTGGAGGATTATTTGGCTCCATGGGCCCATTGGTCTGATCTAGGGTGGCAGGGAAATGTGCTGAGCTGCACAGGGAGTGTCCTGCCTGGGGCTGGTTTAGGCCTGCCCCCTGTCCCCATCTGGGCTCACCTCGCATGTGCACCATACGGCAGTTGCAGTTCTCCACCAGGTAGCGGGTCTCACAGTCGATGCGACAGGCTGCGATGCTGTAGGTGTCGTAGAACTCGGAGTCCTTGGTGATGGACTGGCAGTCACCCCAGGGTGGGGGCAGGTAGATCAGCTGGGGCAGAGCAGGGAGGAATGAGAACAGGAGCCCTGACCCTTCACTCCCAAGGGAGTGCTCCCAGAAGGCTCTTGCTGAGCACCAAAGATGGACCAGGCACTGATCAGGCCACCAAAGGAGCAAGATGAGAATCTCAGAGTATCAATTAACTAGGACCCACAAGCCCACGGGCTCCCTTTCTATTAATTTAAAAATGTCTGTTTAACATCCTCCTGAGATATCAGTGGATTCAAAAGTGTGTTATCATCTGATACTATCTCATGTTTTTTTCCCAAATAGAGAACAGAAACATTTATTGAACGCTTCTGCCTTATCAATAATTCTACCATTTCCACCTGACAACACATTAATACCATTGTTAGGAGTCTTTTTGTTCCTAATAGATTTTAAAACTCATTTTAACTTTGCTGATCATAGTATTCTACTTGTGTTCCTTTGCTTTCCTTACCAATTTTCTACAATTTCTAGTATTAGTCTGATATTAATGTCACTTTCCCCTAGTTATATATAGTTTTAAAATTTTTATAGCTGACTTTGCTTCCTCACTAAAACAGATCTTTTTAACCCATTACAGCCATCTTCCATGAATGTGGGATGGTGGCTTTTGGGGCATCTAGTGGAAGTGCTATTACACAGTTCCTAATTATCTTTCATGCTTTTCTGATTCAGTTCTTCCTCCCAGCTGATCTGGCTCATGACTGTCTGCTATAATTGTCAAGAAGTACAATGACATAAGAATGGCCACATAGGTCAGATCTATGGTCCATCTGGACCAGAATCCTGTCTTCTGACAGCGGTCAATGCCAGATGCTTCTGCCAGAACAAGGTAATCATCAAGTGCTGTGTACCTTGTCATTCAGTCCTAGTGTTGGGCAGTTAGAGGCTCCGGGACACCCAAAGCATGGGACATCCCTGGCTATCCTGGCTAATTGTCATTGATTAACTCATCCCCCAGGAAAATATCTAGTTCTTTTTGAACCTAGTTATAGTCTTGGCCTTCACAACATCCCCTGGCTGCGGGTTCTACACCCTGACTGTGCTTTGTGCCATGAAATACTTCCTTTGGTTGGTTTTAAACCTGCTGCCTACTAATTTTGTTGGGTGACCCCTGCTTCATGTGTTATGGGAAGGGCTAAACACCCTTCCTTATTCACTTTCTCCATGCAAGTCGTAATCATAGACCTCGATCATATCCCCTCTTTATCCCTCCCGGCTCCTGCAAAGCTGCATCAACACCCTCCCTCTGCTTGGTGCCTCTTTGTCTGCATCCGGCAGCGGCAGCTCAGGGGTTGCCAGTCCAGAGTGCTCTCCCTGCCCCTCACCCGCTGCTCCTGGCAGGACACAAAGGTCTGGAATCCAGGGGCCACACCAAAGCCCAGCTGGTCAATTAAGGGAGGCTCATCCTGGCTGTGAATCTGAACTTTGATCCCGGCTTCGAAGGAGGTCTCATCTGCAGCAAAGAGAAAAGTGGGAGCTGAGTCTCTGAGAGGGCTGGGAACCCAAACATCCTGGTGTGCAGCCCATCTCAGATCCACAGGCTACTCCTGCCTTGCTCTCCCCGGGGGGCATGGGAGGGCCCTGTTAACCTAGCTCCAGAGAGGCTGTCTCGTCTGTAATGGAGCCTGGTGTGGAATTAACCCTGTGCCTGCCAGGGTGAAGGGCCCTTTCAGACCTGGATGAGTACAGAGCCATGGTCAATCTCAGGGGACATGAGAAGTTCCAAGGACGAGGGGGCAACTCCACACAGCTGGCACATGCCTGCCTCGCACTCTCCCAGTGGCGTGAATGAGGGGAGAGACCTTGTTTGGCCACATCTCGCACTTGCTTTGTTCGGGCATGAATGGCGCCCCCAGGCCTGGAGGGGGAATTCTCCTCTCTTTGATATCCCCGCAGGGGCGCACAAAGTCCAGCTTCCCTGTTAACACTGGCTGCACCCTGGAGCTATGTGTACACTGCCATTTTTTTTTGGCAGAAGATATGCAAATCGTGCTCTCATTTGCATATCGTCTGCTGAAAAAAATGGCAGTGTGGACATAGCCTGAGCTAGCGCCACTGGCCTCAGCGGGGTTACTCCTGATTCACAGCTGCGCGAGAGCAGAACCAGCTCATTCTTGATGCCTTCCACACGGGCTCAACCCGCCTTCAAAACAGGCACGAACGGAGACTCAGGCCACCCTGGGAAAGGGGTATTATTGCTCCCCTTTTATAGGTGGGGAAACACCACAGAGAGGGGGATCGACCCAACCCCGATGATAGAGGGGCACCCGCCATGTATCCTCACCTCCCATTGCAAGGTCACAGAACCCAGGAGTCCTGGCTCCCCATCTCCTGCTCTCGCCTCTAGAATTGCCTCTCAGATCTGGGAACACAACCCACGAGTCCTGACACACTCTCACCCCCATCCTGCCTGCCCCAGGGACTCAGGGAAGTCACAGATGGCAGAGGCAAGTTTCTGCCTGGGCAAGTCCCCCCTGCCCAGCCACCTGTGTCTCTATTCTGTGAGGATGCTGAAAAGGCGGGAGGGGGCAGGGATGAGAAATGTTTCACTGACGGGGCAGCCAATCATGTCCCTCTCCACATGTAGCCAGATCTGCTCAGGTTTGGGGCTGTTCTCCTCCCCCCAGCGTTGGGCAGGAGGGTGTGTGCGTGTCTATCACGTGCAGGGCCATCTCTCCACCGTCTGTCTTGGGGAAGAATTCTGCACCACATCCCTCTCCACTCTGTAACCTCTCCCACAGCCCACAGCCCTGCTCTACAAGCCCCTCTTCCCCTGCCCATTGCTCCATACCGTGAAGCCTTGTTTCAAGCTAGGTGAGGGGG